AAGCCCCTTACTTAATTCAACTGTTTTATGTCTTGGTTTTCCTATACATATTAATAGTATGTAAAATGAAACTAATTCAGCCTAGGAATGGTGACCGGTTGGRTTAGGTCTAGGTTGTGGTCATACCAACTCCGACACATAAAGCTGAACTCCAAACAAAACCTGGTTCACCCAATGAAAAAGGTGGGGTGCTAACTAATTTGAAAAATAGAATGAAGAGGGGCTTCCTTCGCTCATCATGAATCAATGAGGACAATATATCAATTGTAACTATGAACGTTGTACCTGTCAAACAAGGGGCATCTAACATTAATTGCAGAACAATTGCAAATTGAATGAGGTAAAACCTATGAACTTAAGGTGTGTATGTGTGGGTGGAGGGTGGAGAAGAGCAAAGCAATTTCAAAGCAGACAATAGATTTTGAATGCAAATTATTCTTGCTTCTTAAATGAGATGAAAATAAATGGTGATTGGTAAGTGAAGCTAATTAGTGCTTTGCATTAAGATCTATCATTGTTTCCGCAGATATCTGCACTCATAAGAGAATTTGAAGTCAAAACCAAGAAAAGGAAAACAGGGAGGTTCAAATAAATTCAATAAATACTCAAAATGGGAAGGAGCCTACTATCTTGACACGAGGGAAATCACTGGCAATCAGCTGCTTTATATCTGATTCTGGAACACATTCAGCTATGATAGCTACAACTCTTTTTGTTGGTTGTTTCAGAGTAGCCATGGAAGAGGCAGCAACACTGCAACCACACCAAACTGAAATGACTAAGCATTAAAAGCCAAATGCATTCAGTTGAAATATTAGCACAAAATATGAACCCCTCCCGTGGGACAAAAAGAACTGATTCCAAAACCCATAAAATATGAATCAGTTGATTATGTGTTTCTGTCGTTTGGAAGCTAATGTTGTATTCTTAGGATCTAATCCTTAGATTCCACTTCTATTGTTGGGATGAAAGAATGTATAAACAGAGCATAAGAAGCTGATAGAAAACCTGTTGCTAGTAGCAGCTTTAATGGTCCCAAAGAAGACAAGCACCCATCCCAGCCCATGCTTGGGCCCAATTCCCATTCCCTCTCTTGATAAACCAAAAGCTAAGGAATTGGTAATTTGGATCCAATGGAAATGACATGATCACAAGTAATAAAAAAAACTTGATTTTTTTTAACTGATAACAGAGTTAAGATACAGATAATAAAAGATAAAGAACCACTAGTCAAATGCTGGGAGAAAATCCAAGGCCACATTAACAAGAACAGAAACAAGAAAATCCAAACCCTTGAGAATATATCCAACAGAAGAGGGGTACCATGAACTGTTTTCATCGTTAGCATTACCACTAGAGTTCTCATCATTACAAGGCCTCACAGAAAATCCTTGCACTGAGAATAAACACAGATCCAACCTAACCCACTCCCGCACTCTCTCACCTAATCTTTTCTTCACGCACACAAGAAAAATATAGTGCAAGATAAGAAGTGTGTTATGAGTGAGAATGACCCCTAGGAACATAACATGTCAGGTCAGATCTGTAAGTTGAACTTTTTTTTTTGAAGATAAAAAAGAAATTTCATTAAAAGAAGAAAAGGATACATCTTCATAGGTGATAAGGCATCACCCTCATACAACCAGAATAAAAGCTAAACAGAACAACATACTACAAACCATCCAATTTACAAATTTGATATTCCAAAATCTCCCCTAATCTGTCACTTAAATCTTCTTTAGAGAAAGCTGGAGAGACCAGAACCCAATCTGCAACTGAGTTACTGATAGTTGCCACAATCTTTTCCATATTCCAATGTTCCATCAAATAGTGAAAGGTAAGCAGCTCCAAAGAATTCTTGCTTTTTTATTTCCTCTTAACTTTGGCCAAGAAGAAAATTTGGAAATCCAAACATTGATGTGAAGAAGCTCCACAAGAAACCAGCAACCTTACAATTAATAAGATGTGTAACAGTTTCCTCCTATTATTTGTAGAGAAAGCACATATTGGCCATGCAAAAGCCTCTGGACTTCAGGTGATCCACTGTCAAAATACTGTCCAGACCCCTATTCCTGCAAACCAAACGGGCCTAAATTTGGAATATATTGGTGAAAGTTATAAAGAATGTACACTGCCCATGATCATTATTGGAATTATCATCTCTGCAATCCAATGCAATCACAGCCTGGGCCTTTCTCAGAGCTGTAATAAAGAACCACATACCATTACTGGCAGAAAAAGTGGCAATTAAACTATAGCTCCATAAAACATGAAGGCCAAGGAAAGGGTCACCACACTATTGAAGGCCACTGCATAAGCCAACAAAACCCCAATACCAAGCCAATGCCAGTAACTAGCACTGTTGGACCTCCTTATATCTACACTGAGTTTTGCAGTTCTTGACCCAACATGCCAATCTGCTAAAACCCAAACATTCTTCCACATGCTTGGGTTGAGTACTTGCCTTAGGCCCAACCCAGCCACCTCCCCTGACCCAACCCAACCCAAACATTCTACCCCTTTGCATTCTCCTCAGAAGGATCTAGACATGCTAATTAATGCAGCACGTCCATCGATTGCTCCATCTGCATATCTTGTACAGGCACAAGATATGGAGCTGAACCGACTCCATAAACAAGTCCTAACTGATTCCCATATTAAGTCCTCCATCAAACCTTATTTTTCTAATAACCAGCATAATATATAGTATTCAAAGGAAATAAGCAGTTTACCAATCAAAATAAAAGGTAAAAGCATGAACAAAATCATTTAATGTAAAAAAATATTTATTATAAGCATCTTAAATAAATTATTCAATAAAAAAATCATTCCTAGAAGAGAGGCTATGTACTACGAAGGGTACCTCGGAAGATTAATCCAGCTCCTATCCATTTTATATGACTGATTGCTCCAAAGACAACTAGTGCATTGGAAACATCTCCCATGTCCTTCATGGCAAGATGTTACCAACACTGCAATGGCCATTGGGACAGGTTGTTGGGGCCCTGTTTTGGGACTAGATCTGGTCTCATTGACTCCAACCTGTGCAGGTTGTCACCCCTATAACCTCAGTAGAAGAAGAATATTTCATCCCATCATCTTATCCCGACACAAACTCTTAATTCATTTAAGTATATTGCCATTGGGGTTTCTTCTTTTCACACACAAATTGAGTTGCACAAGGCTGCTTACTTGGAGAGATATCAAAATATTTGCCAGAGATTGGCCATAAGTGTCATGAAAATGAACAGCAAGCCTCTCAATAGGAACAACGGCCATCACGGCTTCGAGCATCGGAACAACAGAACCTGTTTTGAGTGAGAGGAAAGAAAAATAAGTGTATTAGAGCACCATAAAGACTAGATATGCATCCAAAAGTGAATAGCAACAAGAGAATATTCATCACAGCATATAAGATCTTTGAGTACAAAAGTTCCTAATTTAACCGATAATGGTTATTATAAAATCCAAACAGGAAAAGAATTATCAAAAAAAATTTATCACCACCTAGCTATCTGATGTACTCCACTACAATGACAAGGTTGCCCCTGCCCCAATAATACGGTTATGATAAAATCTACTCTAAGTTAACTGAAAGATTTAATAAATAGATCTACAAGCTTGATATTCTGTTTCAGCACTTGATATTATGTCATGGAGTATCAGTACTGCTGACTGGGTTGCACCTTTTAGGGGAGCTAGATGTTCCTGGAGGGTTTCTATATAGCTCATGTAGATTTTAAGTATATCTAAGAGATTCTAAATCCCTGATCAATTAATTTTGCACTTGTTCAATTGTAAACTTCTACTTTTACAGAGCTGAAGGTGACTAGAGTACTGCCTATGCAGCTTATCCATTCTATATGACATAAAAGGAGAAGTCTCTTTACCTTGAATGCTACAACTACTCTTTTTTTATCTAACAAAACCAGATAGAGTTCAAATAAAGCCATAATTGTAAGACCATCCACCACTTGGTTGCCTTCCCAGAGGATATGATTGCAAGTGAAAGAATCAAGTCTCTAAATCGCATTATTTAGTTGTTCATATATACCAACCAAAGGTTCCAAGGGGAGTTGTAACTGAACCCAACAAAGGATATAAGCTAGAATCAACATAACCCTCAATACGAAATAAACCAAGAGCCAAAGCCAAATCAATGCTAGGGGTGAGCAAATGGGTAGGTTCTACCCGGAACTGAATGGAACTGACCTCAAACCACCTTAAACCACCCAACCTGATCTGTTACCATACACAATCACTCATGGTCACAATGACCATGGTCTCAGTTGACCATAGAGTCACTTGAGTCATTTGATCATTTTCCTTCAATTTATTTCTTACTTACCAATTCAGGGTTAAAGACTATGTCAGTGACTTATGTGCCGATTGAAAAGAAGAAATAAGAAAATGGTAAAAAGAAAGTAGTATAAGAATAAAAGTAATACTAATGGTCTAGAGCATGCTTTGGAAAGTCAAAGGGTGAATAGAAATCAATTATTCTGAGGTACTTCCTTGTAGAAAGTAGACTATTTTTTTAAAAGGTAAGGTAATTTTTTAAAACAAAAACCAGTACAAAGGAGCCTAGGCCATTAGAGGCTGCCTGGAGCCACCACAAATTACAGATACATCCAGTTCTGAGATCTAAACAACAGACTCAAATTCTGATTTTTAAGCACCTCCGTTGCTGACACCCAGGACAGAAGTTTACCCACAGCTTTTTGCACTATTTCCTCTGAAGATTTAGCTTTGCCCTGAAAAATTCTGTTATTTCTTTCAATCTAGATAGTCCAAAGCACAGCAGCCGGGATAGTCTTCCAGACCAAGATACCTTTCTTGCTGAGACCCTCAATCTGCCAACACAACAGCAGATCCTTCACAGAATTTAGCATTACCCAGCTGAAGAAAATGCCTCCAAATATAATTCGAGACTGGGCAATGTGGCCAGATGTTCAGTAGATTCTACTACCCCACCACATAAGCCGCATGACATGTCCGAAATCTGTATGCCACATTTCACTAGATTAACTTTGGATAGACATTTATTTAAAGTCATTGTCCAGAGCAAAAACTTCACTTTAGAATGACTGATTGAGCTCCAAATCTGCCTAGCCGGAAAGTTTTCCTGACCTGAACTTATCAACTTACTGAACATAGACTTTACAGAAAACCTGCCATCAGCTTCCCATTTCCATCTCCAAGCATCCTCCATGTTTGGGTCAATCCTCTGGTTCTGGAGCAGGCCCAACAGAATTGCATACTCCTCAATTTCCCAGTCAAAGAGGCGCCTCCTACAAATTAGGTTCCAACTGAAAGAGTTACCATCCACATTGAAATTCTCAGCCACTGAGGAGTCCTGATTTACAGAAATTTGATACAAGAGAGGAAAGGCATCTTTCAGACACACTTCAGAACACCAAGCGTCTTTCCAAAATTTAATTCTTTCCCCATTTCCCAAGTTGTAACCAATTCCTTCCTCAAATAAATTAGCGTTCTTCATTATACCTATCCAAATGGAGCTTATCTCTCTTGAAATAGGAGAATTGAATCTCCAATCACCCCAATCCACTCCATATTTGTCCACAATCAGCTTTCTCCACCAAGCATTTCTTTCATTTGCAAATCTCCAAAGCCATTTACACAGGAGGGCAGAATTGAATTTCTTCAATCCCTCCAACTTCCTTAGGAAGACACACTTGACCCCAGTTCACAACATGGACCTTCTTCTCCTCCTCCCAACCTCTCCAGAGAAAATTTTTCTGTAGTTGCTCCAATCTATTAGCCACTTTGGAAGAAATAGGAAAGAGGGAGAGGAAGTAGGTAGATTAGAAGGAGTACTCTTAATCAAAATAACTCTCCCCCCGAAAGAAAGGTATTTAGCTTTCCAGGAAGCCAATTTCTTCTCCATTCTTTCAACCACTGGATTCCAAATCTGAGAGGAAGTATATTTAGCTCCAAGAGGGAGCCCCAAGTACTTGACCGGAAGATGGGCAGTCTGACAAGCCATAACTTCTGCACAAACTTCTAGGTTTGTAACAAGACCTACAGGGATAATCTAAGATTTATTCAAATTAACCTTGAGGCTAGACACCACCTCAAACCAACTCAAAATTCCAAGCACCACCTCCAGTTGATTAGGAGAAGCATCAACAAAGCATAAGGTGTCATCAGCAAATTGAAGAATATTAACTTTTTCTTTTCTCGGAGCAATTGCGAAGCCCTCCCAAAAGCCCATTCTCAGTAGTCTTCTTGCTAAAGAGAGATAAAATTTCCATGACACAACCAAGGGGCTGAAGGGATGAGAGATCTATCATATGGATGGCCGAACCCTGCAGGTAGGTTGGGCGAAATTTCAAAAATTTCTCTCTCTCCCATCTGGGAATCACATTCCCTGTTTTAAAAAATCTACATTTTCAATGATCAATCTTGAACCTAAACCGAACCAGATCTGAAACCAAAAGGTAGGAGATGGATATACCTGTTACGGAGTAGCAGGAACTCCCAACGAAGGTGTTCACGCTCAAGGACAACTCCAAAGACTGCTCCCACTGAAGATGACACAGTGTAGGGTGGAGCAGAATCAGCAAGTGGTTCTTCCCAAGAACCGAATCCTTCAGCAAGAATTCGATGGAGGCTATGTGAGCACAACTTCATATCAGTTTTTCTCCAAAAACTGATATCAAGAACCCTTCTTGATCGCTCCTACAGTGGAGATCGAACTGGCAATGGCGACAACAGGAGGAGAGCACAAGAGCAGAAGATGGCACAGTCTCACTGTAGCTGTCTTCTCTCTTTCTGTGATCTGAGATCAGATTCAGTTGATGTGTCTGGAGGTTCGCCCCCCTTCATCCTTTTATAGGCTTAAAGAGAGCTCCTAATCTCATTAGGAGTTTCCTAATCCAAATCCTTATTTGGATATGGACTCTCTTTAAGAGATAAGGAAAGCCCTTATCTTATCTGCAGATAGTTAGATAATGTTTCAAATCTAAGTGGAAGAGAAAATAATAGTACCATTGCTGAAAAATAGAAAACCTAGTCATACTAGATGGTAAATGCAAGATGGGTAGAAAATGGATAAGCATACTACAATTGTCAATGATTTTGGATAGCAACTGTCCAAGTAACCAAGCAAGCCCAGTCTCAGGCTTGACACAGCTTCAGACTAGCAATAGAAGTTTATCAACTTCTGGATTATGTACGGAAGACAGATATAATGCAATAATGGCACACTGATTATAGCTGTAATAGAAATTTGTGCTAACACAGATAGACTCTCCAAGGCATACCTAGAAGAGATCATAGAAGTTGGAATATCAAGATTTAGTGGTTTGTGGCCTATGCTATACAGACACCAAAGTGGGAAACACTAAAATTATAACCAAGGGGATCAGGGGACGTTCACTGTCACATATATACCATGTGACTAAAGAACCTCAAACTTTTAGTGTAAAAAGAGTTGGACATGAATGCACAAATCAATAATTGAATTGATAATCTAGTATCATCAAGCTTGGCTTGCTTAGTGTTGCTTTCACTGATATGCATCTAATTTAGTCTATCTTTTATTTTTCACCAATAGTTCCATTATATGATATAAAGGATATAATCTTAAGACTTTAACTTAACATTAAAATTTAGCATCCAAATCAACAACTCCTATTGAGAGGGCATTCAATGTCAGAAGAAAAATTGTCACATAAGTTACATGTGACTAGAGAACATCAAAATTTTTAAAATAAAAATCAGAAGAAAAACCTATACATGAATATGCAAACCAGAACACATATAGGCTAATCAGACGTGAAAGATGAAACACCTCAGTTAAAGATAGGGATGCAAATGGATTGAATCACAAGTATAAAAGGTAAATAATGATTGGGGTAGGGCATCAACCCTTCAGAAAATATCTTGTCTTCTTCTTGTGGAGGCTAGGACTTCCGCTCAAATTAGCCCCTGCAGTTAGCAGTAACTCACCACACAACCTTCTATTCATGGGTCCAACTTCAGCTTAAAACCATTTGTCATATGGCAACCAGAAGCCTTCTTTGGAGGAATCTTTTAAATTGAAATATTGAAACTTTGAGAAGCTCCTACCACTAGGAAGAAGCTCCAGTACAAAAACAGTAATAGAGCTAACATGGACTGTAGAAGTGAACATATAATTCAAAGACTCCACTATTAATGCAGGATGTAACAAGTCAGATCTGGGAATTTTTATTTCTTCTATATCTTTTTTTTCCCTTCCATGTGGTAGAGGGGGTTTTGTGACTTTTGTCATCTTCAGCAGCTATTTTCTGATTATAGGAAGTGTTCCTAGTTAGATTAGGAGTTTGTTTTCCTAATCATAGGAGAAGTTGGTTTCCCTTTAGACTAGTAGTTTGTTGTACTAATTGGAATAAGAGTTATGCTAGCAAGCCAAAATCATGTTAGTCAGGGACATAGTTATAAAGTAGGATTTGTTTTATTCCTAATCCCAAGTCAAAGCCATAGTCCCTAGCCAACTAGTTTCTCACTGTCTAGCTTGTTAGTAGCGTTTGTCAGTTGGTTTTTGAATAGAAAAATAATAGACAAGGGTTGACCAACCTTCCTGTTTTGACCTATAAATATCTGTAAGACCATTTTCTATTTTGACATCAAATAATAAAACGTGAGTATATTCTATTTATAATATGCACTCATTCCAAATTTTTTGGTTGTGTTGATTCCTTCAAGAACATACTAGTGGATAATTTCTAATAATTTATCTAGTAGATGCTTTATAGAGGAGCATAGGTGCTAATTCCTAGTTTTTTTTATAGATAATTTCTATTCTCATTTATATTACCAATGTTCTTGGTTGTGATTGGCTTCAAGAGTAGTAAAAGTCAGTAATGTTGCATTTCCTTTCACTGTATAGTATGGTCTCGTCATCGTCATCATCTAATCCTTGTCCCAAGTCCCAACTATATGGAGTTGGCTACAAGAGTCCTGTTAAAGACAAATCAGGACCCATGACCAAAGTTTTAATGCTGGCTACCAACCTGACACAACCCCCCTCTTGTATCTAGGCATGGGACTGGCGGTGTAAGAGAGGATCACACTGGTGGAGTTACTGTGTGGTGTGGTATATTTACCAAAAAAAAAAAAGAAGTATTAGTGTGATCTTGGGTTCAAACCACACCAATTTGGTGTCAGAGCAAAAAAGTGATCATTTGCTTTGGAAGTTCTATATGAATTGCTTTAGAGTATCCTAAGTTTTATCCGTCTAATGTTCACAAGGCATTAATGCTACCGTCAAACAAGGTTTAATAGTAACAAGAATGCTAGATGCAAGCTACATGTTATCTTTCTTGAAAGAAGTATTGTGAGCTTATTGATTTTCAAATAAAATATTCATGTATGTAGGGGTGGACTCGAGCCGAGCTGAGCTGAATAGTACTAGGCTCGAGCTCAGCTCAAGACTGTTCTACAAGGCTCGAGCTCGAGCTCAAGCTCGATTTGAGCCAGAACCTTAAGCTCGAGCTCGGCTTGAGTCAAAAGTTCATAAGCTCGAGCTCAACCTGGCTTGAGCTCGACTTTGAGAAAAAATATTTTATAAAATAAAAAATTATATATATAAATATTTTTTATTTATAATAATTAATAATTATAATATTTTTATTATATATATTATTTTCTATAAATTTATTATATATATTATTATTATATTCGAGTCGGCTCATGAGCCAAGCTCTAGTATGCTCGAGCTTGGCTCATTTAATAATCGAGCCAATGAATTGGGCTTGAATTTGAGCTCAAGCTCAGTTGAAACCGAGCCGAGCTGAGATTTTCACAAGCCAAGCTCGAGCAGCTCATGAAAAGCTCGACTCGTTGCACCCCTACATGACAGAATCAAGAAGAGGTGATCACTATTTCTGTCAAACCAGTATCCTATTATTGTAGGCCATACACTATTTGCTTTTTTTTTTTGGATGAATAACCTGTTTGTTAATGAACATGTCATAGCAGAATTTCCCAAACTAGTGAACAAGATATTTGAACTGAGAAAAGTATATTTGTTCTATTTTTTTCCCTTTCAACTGTTTTCTTTTTGTGTATATAGCTCATATAATTTCACACGTCTAATTAACTTCTAACACTGAAATAAACTGTTCGAATGTCTCAGCATTTGAGGCCTCTTGCTAGCATGCTTGATGCTTTTTATCTGTTTCTAAAATCAGCCAACATTTTAATCATGTCACACCATTTAGATCTCATTTGAGATCAAAAAAAAAAAAAATCACAGACTTCCATTTTATTCAGACTTATTAGAAATGATGAAAATAGACCTTGGTTGAAATCAATAGACACACCTAGGTTTTCAAGTTTCTTGAAAACCAAAATGAAATCTCARAATTCTTYAGGTGTTATTGTAGATATATTTGGCACCAATAAGTGTGTCATTCACTCACTATTTCAAACCATTTCTTTTTTCTAACTAAAAGCAACTTCTCGAGTCCTTGTTCCACGAAACAAACATCATATGAAACATTTGGATTGTGAATGTTGTCATCATTCATAGCTTCAGTGTATCCCAGAATTGCATCATACTTTGGAATCCTCTGCCAGTATTGATTGTTAACATCAACAACTGTTACTTGATGGCTTCAATATGCCTCTGGCTTGCATAATACTTCGGATATTTTGCAAACACCTACATGCTCCAACAAAAATAATGCAATGGAGACTACTATTTTGGGTATACCCTTCAAGAGAACATTTGCAGTGTATTCTCTTTAAAAGTTTTACTTGTTTTCCTTACTAAGAGCAAAAATAAACTTATCCATCCAAAAAAAAGAGCAAAAACAAAATTGGAAAAGGATGAGATAGAAGCACATGTATGCTCAACTTTGTTACAGGAAGACGTGACAAGAACCAATAATCACCTCAGATACCTTTTCCTGAATCATAGGGCAGGTAAAACTAAGTGTTTTGCATCATTTATGTTTAAAACAAGCTGAATCATAAAATGATGGGCACCAAAAGAAGAGCCTATTTCTCAGAGGTTGCCCATTGATTTTAACCTACAGTYTACSAGCCATTCATGAGGAAGTCTAGAAGAGATGAATTTGATGCAATACCCCTTGCTGACAATGCTATTTAACATTAGTATAAGAGCACATGCTATGTATGTGTTCAAGTATTAACCATATATGATAATATGTTATGTGAATTTAACTTTTATGGTGAGCATGGAACCCAAGGCAAGTATCTGGTTTATATGGTATAGATTCTGTAGGTCCAATTATCAATAAAACGTAGGATGCTCAAGATTAAATATGCCATCAGGAAGAGAGCAGGATAGTAAAACCAGACTGGGGCTCAATCTTGAGAAAATCTTGAAGAAAAGGCTACCAACTCACAACTGTACCACTCTCTGTACTGAATGCAACATGTGAAGG